GTCGCAGTAAAAAAAGTTTGAAAAACACTGCCCTAAGCTATAGCTTATCTAGCTTATACCTAAATCCGACACTGGGTAACAGTATGGAGAAAGGTTGACATATACACTTCAAATGCCTCTAGTCATTGATTGGAGATTACCTAAGAATACATTTGTTGTATAATACTCGATGTGCAATATGGGAAAATAATGTTGATTGTTTGTTTATACTGCTAGATCCCAACGAATATTTTTCAAGATTAATGACATATTCATTATAAAAAATTTTCATTACTACTTTAAATCTGAAGCCGAAAGAAAGCATCCGCATAACATGTCACTTATACACAAAACGATAATATAGATTGACAGCGTGTGTCTCAGTTATCACGCTTGTCTTCCCTCTTTTCATTCTCTGCCTTCATTCACATTTTCTTCGCCTAACCTAACATATGACCTGTATTTTCTGATGCGATTGAAAGATGTTTTGCGACAGAAATCCCGTAGAGATAATGTGTCTTATCGTAAGGTTCCCAGATGACCAAAACCAAGATAATACCAATATTGTTTGGAATGTTTATACTATGAAATTTGTAGTAGGAGCAGCTAATATCCATTAAATTAGTTAATGTGCTTAGTAATATTTATATATTCAATATAGCATCACTGTGTTGCACAGTAAAGCATAATTAATTATCCAATAATATTTATTTACAGAGCCGATCAGCCGAGAAGGTTGGACATCTACTTCCAGGGTTCATCAAGGCAGATGAAAGAAATTTACCAAAAGTAGACGTCTTTATGACAGTACAGTATTATCAAGAACTCCGCCATCCAGCTATGAAGCACGTTAAATTACATCTGTCATCTGACCATCTCTAGCCCATCCAGACATGAAATAGAGAACAGCCATGAAAACTTCCATGTTGGAGTTATCGGTCTTTTGCATCATTTTGGCACCCAGCCAGTAAATACCCACGATGATACTTGAGCAGTAATTTATTTTAACCTAAAAATAAGGTATGCCTGTGTATATCAGCATTGTAGAAGGCCACAAGTCCTGTACTTCTGCTGGTAACAACACATAACACAGCTGGTTGCCTCCAGGCTCCTGCTTGGCGGCTCGAGCTAACCTGTGACGAAACCACCAATCACAGAGCATGTCGCAGTCACGTGACTTTTTAGCTACTTGAACCCTTATTTGTTTATTTTTTTTTTACACTTTTTGGCCTAATTTATTAAAAAATATCATTACCGTAGTGAATTTAAGCATTTTCTTTACCCATTGGCCTACCATCATACGAAAAAAATTCCGACCGACAACTCGTCCATTACTGAAGGAGTTCACTTTCTATCCAGTAAAGTCATTTTAGTTCCTATACGGATAATAGTGATAGTTATAGTTTGTATTTGTATTTAATGGTTTGTATTCAGAGAAATAATTACGTTGAATTCTATGGTAATGAATTTGGTTTTAGTTATTTGGTAGTACCGTAAGTTGCGGTAAATAGCTTCCATCATAGAAACATGCACTGTCAATATATATTTTCGTTTTGTGCGTAAATGACATATTATGCAAAAACTTTCTTGCAATTTCAGATGTACAGTAGTGCTGAAAATACTTTATAAATAAATGTGTCATTAAGTTTGAAAAATACTTGTTGGCAACAGAAGTAAGAACAATCATATTCGTCTGGATCCTCAGTTATGAATCATCCTGCAACCATGTCATCTTTCTCGATAACATTATTTTCCCACATTTTACACATTGAAGTGTATACAAGAAAGGTACTCTTAGTCAATCACCAATCATAATTTTTAAATAATTAGCCATTAAAAGCATATATGTCAAATCTTCCCCATACAGTGGAACCAGATCACCTACCTGCCTCATATTATGCTGGTTGGCTTGGGACGAACTTCTGCTGGTGACGATACTTGTCTATGTGTATGCTTCTTCGTGTATGCACATTTACAATCAACAAACAAATTATCACGCCCCTGAGGTCCGTTGGAACTGGGGATGAGCCAATACTTTAGGCACTCATGGTATGTGTTTGAGTTGGCATTCCTGGGTTATCTGAACATTTCATCCTGTGTTCCAGAATGAAAAGTACGGAAAGTGGCGCAATTATTTTTGGTTGACTGTACATGTATGTGTATGTTTATTGTGTTTATGAATCAATTTGTGAGCTTATGTTGGCATGCATGTGTACAGTCGGCAAAAGAAAGTTCTTGAACGCTTTAAGAGTCATACAGTATGACAAAACGACCGATAGATCTGAATGCTGTCCGAGGAAGTTTTACTGCAAATTAAAATATTTTTTCCTTTAAATACTATTAAGACGAGCATCGTATAATTATTATTGCGAAATATTGAGTCACTTCGCAACCAGGCATACCAACCATTCTGAAATGACAAAGCATAGTACTTATTCTGAAATCTATCGTACCCAGCTGTCCGAGAAATTGTTTTGCCCTTTGTATAGTCATGTGCAGTGTGTGTGCGCAAATGTACATAGCTTTATTTATTAAAGTATGTCTGTATGTAGTCGTGTTTTCGTGTACATATAAGCACAAACACTTCAGCAACATGTCAAACTACTACACGCGCTATGTGAACACTATTGATAATAATAAAACAAAAATCACTATTTCGCTGAACAAAAAGCAGTCAGTCAGAGAGTTGGGGACTACGGTAAGTATACTGCAGTCTGATAAACGTCGTGGTCAAATGGGCACTGTACCATGTTGTAATAATCTGAAAAAAACTCTACTAGAAACTACAGTGAGTGTCTGCAGGAGCTGAAACTGGACTATCAGAGAGGAAGCCTGTCAAGAGAGTAAATGATCATTAGCAGTATGTACAAAAATTAACGCAGGATGGTGTGCTGGAGCTCAACGCTGGCACTGAAGGGCTTTAGCGTTAGACCGAGTGCCACGATGGCTTTGTTATTAATTGTTTCATCTCGAGTAAACACCTAGATTCTTGTTAATACAGCAAGAAGTCGTAAAGTTAGAAAGTAGACAAATATGTCCTACACAGCCTGAGAAGCTTACATCACACCAGCAAAGTCTGCCCGCGAATGTGACCGGTATTTCTGAAAACTAAGTTCTTCAGAGCACCAGACACTGTTGAGAGATGAGATATTTTTGTCTTGATTAATATAATAACTTTACGATTTGATCAGAGGAAGATTCGGCAGTAGAGTTAAAACCACTGTCCAAGTTTCTTGTTCTTTTATTCGTAAGACAAACTGATCTTCAGATATCACTCGGATCATTGGTCTTGAAATAAAATTGTTTAATGGAAAAAGAATCAAAGGTTGTTATAGGTAATTGATGACGTCTGAAGATTCCATTTTTTCAATACCACAACACTGAATTTCGCCTCAACTTCTGGATCAATTGTTCTCTCCACACTCCGACTCACATTCATCCTTGAAATAACTTCAAATCAGAAATATTTTCAAGTTCAGACACTAAGTGCCACCCAATATTAGGTTTTGCTATAAATAAAGGGGGAAAATTTAACAGTAGTCTGAAAAATATATTGCCGTACCTCCTTCTATTGAACAACACCTTCACTAAGTGTTGAAGATCACGGCAAATGTAAGATCCTCTCTACCTTGAAACCATTAATATGGGCGTTAATGATAATAAATAAGCTATGTAAGATATCAAAACACAAAATTTTCCAGTGTAGAAATGTGAGATCTAACGGGAGTAATGAGAAAATAAAAACATCATTAACATACCAGGACAAAAAACATTTGTTTCTGACACCCTGTGAACCTAGTGTTGAGAAAATATGATTCTTTCATGGTTATTTTTTGTCTAAATTCTTTATGCAGTTGAGTTTATAGTTTCGTACATATTTCTGCGATACGAAAAGTGTTGGTGTTTCTGGTAAATGACACGTCATTAGAAAAAAAGACTATTCATTAATCAACATATACATCCTAGACCGAGTTCAGTAGGGATTAGGTACAAAGTTTCTCACTGCAACAGAGACAATAACACGTGCAGAGTCATGGTGGGATTACCTAGATATATTCCCCAAATTTTATAAATTTAAAAGTCTCCTCCTGCCTCTGTCAATATTACACACTTACCACAAACACTCGACGGTAATAAAAAAATAATAAATATTTCTCTACACACATACACGTATGTGTGTATATATATATATATATATATATATATATATATATATATATATATATATATATATATATATATATATATATATATATATATATATATATATATATATATATATATATATATATATAGTATATATACTAGCAGAATCGCCGCCCTCCGAGCGGCTCATCCTCTAGGCCACGGTAGGACGCCACCCTCCAGGAGGCTCCACATTGTCTCACTGTTCAGTCTCCAAAACTTCTTCTTCCATCAATAGTTCATTAACGGTGTATGTAAGTTCCACCATGTTTTTCATTACAACAATACAGCAAAGTATATTTTTTTAGCATTAAACTGTTATTATTTTATTGTCTAATCATCACTACATATAACACCACACATCATCACTACATATAACACCATCCATCATCACTACATATAACACCATCCATCATCACTACTCATAGCACCGCCATCACTACCATCACTACTACCACCATCACCATCACCATCACCACCACCATCATTACCACTACTATCAACCAGTCTCTACCACCGCCACTATCACCACAAACACGCCGCTATCACCATCACCACCACTACCACTGTCACTACCTAGCGGATGAGCCGCTCGGAGGGCGGCGATTCTGCTAGTGTATACAGTATATATATATATATATATATATATATATATATATATATATATACTGTGGTAGACGTGCGTAAACCAAATACATGAATAAATCACCTCAATATCTTCAGTAAAACAAATACCTGTAATCAAAAATACAAAGTCATCATTATAATACAAGTGTATCATCGAAGTCAATAGAAAGATGATTGTGAATAGGAGGGAACATGACCAAGTGACTGACCTGGGTAATGATGTTCACCTGCAGGACGGGCACGCACAGCTGCAGGTTCTGTCTGGTCCAGGTGAACAGGTCCAGGAAGCACCCAGAGAACAGCTCAGTAAGGATGGACTGCTCATGGTGTGGCCGAGTTCTGAGCCAGGCCTTGAGCAGCGGTTGCCAGTCCAACCCAGAGGAGCTCATATACACCTGTGAGGCACCTGGTTGTTAACATAATACCCTCATAGTAAACACCGGGATCTACCATGAATCACTACCTGCTCATCTTCCGTCACAATTAATCATGACTTACTATCCACTATTCCCCACTAACCAATCTAGCGCCTAAATCTAAATTTGTCTAATTTAAAACCATTACTACGAGTTCGCTCCTGGTTGGATAGTTTGAGTACTTTGTTATATCACATTTGTTCAACCCTGACTTCCATTTATACACCTCTATCATATCGCCCTTCACTTTACGTCTCTCGAGGGAGTGCAAATTAAGAAGCTTTAACCTGCTTCTGTGCTCAAGGTTTATAATGCCCGGGATTAGTCTTGTCATTCTCCTACGAATTCTTTCTAGGGATTCTATATCAATTCTGTAAAACGATGGCCAGAACTGAACTACGTAATCCAAGTGAGGCCTCATAAGCGCAAGCTATAGTTTTAGGATAACGTCGCTAGTCTTATAACTAACACTCCTTTGTATGAACCCAAGTACTTTGTTAGCTTTCTTTCGAACAAATACACATTGTTGACTTGGTTTAAGATTCCTACTTATCATTACTCCTAAATCTTTCTCACAGTTGGATTTCTCTATAATAACGTTGTGCATCTGATATCTGGTTTCTTTGTTTACATCTCCTAGTCTAAGTACTTTACATTTGTCCATTTTAAATTCCATCTGCCATTCTTGAGACCATTCTATTTTTTTTATAGATCTTCCTGTAGTTTTGCTGAGTCCTTGTCAGAATTAATTACACCCCCTATTTTAGTGTCATCAGCAAATTTATTTATATTGCTGTCTACGCCTATTGCTATGTCGTTTATGTATATAATAAATAGTAATGGTCGAAATACTGAGACTTGGGGTACTCCACTAGTGACGTTACCCCAATCGGATTTCGTGCTGTTAATTCTTACTCGCTGTTTCCTGTCCTCTAACCACGCCCTAATCCATTTTAGAATATCTCCTCCAGTTCCATGAGCCTCCACTTTACGTATTAGTCCTTCGTGGGGGACATTGTCGAAGACTTTGCTAAAGTCAAGATATTACCACGTCATAATCGTGCCCATCCTCAACTCATTCAAAAACAGCGGAAAAGAATGTTAATAGATTAGTTAGAAATGAACGCCCACTTGTACTTCTCAGGAGATTTCGAAAAGAGTTTGAAATTATTGCTTCCAGCAATTCGCCTACAATTGATGTTAAACTGATTGGATGGTAATTAGAGGATAGTGATCTATCTCCCTTCTTGAAAATCGGTATCACATTCGCTATCCTCCAGGATTCTGGCACTACACCCGTGGTGGCAAATATATCATCGGGACCTGGTGACTTATTAGGCTTTAGCTTGTCTATTTGCATACTAACATCATTACTAGTCACTACTATCTCGCTTAATCTATTTACTTCACTATCTCTGTATATAGTCAGTGCCTCGGGTATCATGTTTAAATTTTCGGTGGTGAAAACTGTTGAAAAATATTTATTCTGATTATTGCTCATTTTCCGTTGATATCCGTTAGCTCGCCAGTATCCGACTATATTGGTCCAATCTTATTTCGAGTTTTAGTTTGATTCATTTGAAAGAATCTCTTGGGATTTGACTTTGCCTCTCTTGCTACTTTCAGTTCATTATTTCTCTTTGTTTTTCTTATCTCGGTCTTAACCCTACCGGCCAATACTTTATAATAATCTCGGAGGTAAACATCACCACGATTTATTCTCCTGCCTGTAACCTTCATTTGTCCAATAATATTCTTTAAATAATTATTTGGGGTCATTGTTATTTGATATGAGTGTTCTGTATGGTATATTCTGCCTTTGTGCATTAAGTAACTCATTATCTAAATTTTTGTGGAACTTGTCAACCTAGGATCTTGTGATCAGGTCATCCTCAATCGTCATATTTTGCGAGGTTATCGTTGTCAGGCCACTAGATGAAGTGAGGTCGCCCTCTGTGGGTACATTGTGTGAGGTCATGTAAGTCACCCCCAAACATGATACCCTGCTCGCAGCTGCCGTTTCAAACTATCAAAGTTTGCCCTTCTGAAATCGGGGACTTTAATGGAATTTTCCTTGAGACTGACATTAAATTCTACTTTGAATCTCACTTCCTTGTGATCGCTATTAGCTAGATCATTTCCTACCTCGACATTACTAATGAGATTTTCTCTGTTTGACAACTAAATCGAGAATAATATTACCCTGGGTGGGTTCAGCTATATGTTTTCTTAGGAAACAGACCTGAACTGTTTCAAGAAAATTCTCTGATTCTGAGTACCCGTAAGGTCGGTCAGTTTACTTATGTTAAGTTAAGGTCGCCTACTATACAGACTTTGCTATGACTGGATGCCCTGCGCATTTCATCCCAAATAAGTTGCTCATTAGCTCTTTCAAGACTAGGAGGACAATATATTACTCCTATGATTAATTTTTCCCCAACATCGTTAATTTTATCCAAATTGTTTCTGTATTCAGTTCAGTTTTTATTTTCTCATTTATTTCACACTTCAGATTATCCCTGACAAAAATTGCTACCCCGCGCCCCCTTTTCTAATCTGCTTAACGGTATGGAATAATTTGTAACCTTGTGAGACCTCACTTGGATTAAGTATGCACTTCAGTTTTGGTCACCGAACAACAGAATGGATATAGAATCCCTAGAAAGCATACAGAGGAGGATGACAAGACTAATCCCGGGCATTAGGAACCCTGGGTATTGAGACAGGTTAAAGCATCTGAATTCCCACTCCTTCGAGAGATGTAGAGTGAGGAGTGATATGATTGAGGTGCATAAATGGAAGTCAGTGATATAACAAAGGTACTTAAATTATCCAACCAGGAACGAACACCATGACCACCATGAAACACAACCATGCCCATCATCAAACACCACCATGCCCACTGTCAAACACTATCATGCCCACCATAAAACATAAATCACCTACCATGCCATTCCTAGAGACTGTGGCTGGAGAGGCGTTGTCAATGTTGGCGGGCTCGAAGATCACTTTACACGCGGGCGACATGGGTATCCTGTCTCCATTTGCTAGGGTTAAGGTCCTGTTGTCGTCCAGCACCGAGTTAAGGTTCTCGATCCATATAGCATCGACGGGCCCGTCCAGCACCAGCCAGATGTGTTCACCTAGAAGTAAACACTCATAGCAGTTATTTCTATGGTTTCTAAAGAGGGGTTCGCAAGGTCTCACAATACAATTTTTGTTTATACAAGGTGAGATCATGAATTATCTTTATGATTTTGTTCTTTTTTGCTTTCTCTTTTCCCTTCCCTAAACATTATTTTTAGTCTTCTTTCTTTCTTCCTCTTTCTTTTCTGTACATTTACACCAGTAAATTTTCACTTCGTTCACATATTCTCTCTCTCTCTTTTGATAATTTTCTTCCTTTCCGTACATTTCTGTCATTAAAATTGATTTTCCCTCAATCATTCTCTTTTCGTCTCTCTCGCTAACCCTTCCTATCTCGGTCGATCAGTCTCACCTTTCTTGGCCTTGAGAGTCTTCCTCCAGAGTGTGGAGAAGATGCCATCCGTCCAGTCGTTGGTGGCCACGTCAAGCCGCCCGAACATCTGAGCCGACGTGATGGCCTTCGGGTTCATCCTCAGCTCCCTGACCAACAACAATAGCATGTAAACACCGTGGATATGGATAAGGTTATAACTATCGATATGTTTTTGCTAGAGTCGAGTATGTATAGTGGGTGTATAATATAAAGAGCCTTCCAATACTAATGGAAATAAACGTATGATGGCTTCAGTGGGCTACCTTGGTCGATTGAGCCTACTTTTTAATCTGTGTGTCTTATACCTGAACAATTAGTGTACATTCTTTGTATATCTGCAATGTATAAATTATATATATAATGATATGTATAATTTATCTGCACTGTCTTGTACATTGTTTTACTTGCATTGTCTATCTCAGTGATGGACAACCTAAGTTATTTTGAATCCAGGAAAAAAGTTTAAAGAAAAAAGTCAAAGTACCTAACCTTACCTTACCTAACCTAACCTAACCTGTCATGCACTGTTCATAAGGGGAACGGAAATAAAGTAACAGGAAAAACATTACAAGTCAAAATTTTTGCTAGGAAAAAAAGTCACATTTTATTTAATTACCATTAACAATTAAAGTATAAAATAGGTTAGGTTAGGTTAGGTTCTTTATTTTTTTCTGTGACAATTTTCCTGGATTCATCAATAAATGATTGATTTTAACACATACTTTGTTTCATTACTTTAATTTAAAGTATTGAATATTTTTGGTGTTTGTTATATACATGTATTAATAACCAACATTAGAAAATAAGAATAGAGGAAACTGCAGCGGGCCTATCGGTCCATACTGGGCAGTCCCGTTTACACCCAACCCCTATCGCTCATATATCCGTCCAGTCTAAGTTTGAAGCTATCTAGCGTATTCGAGTTAATTATGATGTTTGGTAACTTGTTCCACTCATCCATTACTCTATTTCCATACCAATGTTTACCCATCTCGCGCTTAAGTCTAAATTGGTTTAATTTAAAACATAGCTTCGAGTTCGCTCCTGGTTGGATAGTTTACGTACCTTTGTTATATTATCTTTGTTTAGCCCTAGCTTCCATTTATACACCTCTATCATATCGCCCCTCACTCTAAGTCTCTTGAGGGAGAGCAAATTCGTTGCGTTAATACGTCTCTGTACTCAAGGTTCCTAATGCCCGGGATTAGTCTTGTCATTCTCCTCTGAATGTTTTCTAGGGATTCTATATCCATTCTGTAGTGCGGTGACCGAAACTGAATTGCGTAATCCAAGTGAGGTCTCACAAACGCAGGATATAGTTTTAGGATAACCTCACTGGTCTTGTGACTAACACGCCTTTGCATGAACCCAGGTACTTTGTTAGCCTTGTTTCGAGCAAATACGTATTGTTGTCTTGGTTTAAGATCCCTATTTATCATTACCCCTAAATCTTTCTCACAGTCGGATTTCTCCATCAACGTTATTTATCTGATATCTGTTTTTTTTCTGTTTACATCACCTTGGCTAAGTACTTTACATTTTCTACATTAAATTTCATCTGCCATTTTTCAGCCCATGCGAAAAAAAAAATTGATCTTCCTGTAGTTTTGCCGAGTCCTCGTCAGATTTAATTACACTCCCTATTTTCGTGTCGTCAGGAAATTTTCTTATGTTACTGTCTATACATATATATACATAAATTATGTATATGATGAACAGTAATGGTCCAAGTAATGAGCCCCCACTAGTGACTTTACCCCCATTCGGATTTAGTGCGTTAATGCTTACTTGCTGTTTCCTGTCCTGTAAACACGCCCTAATCCATTTTAGAATATCTCCTCCAATACCATGAGCCTCCACTTTTCGTATTAGTCCTTCGTGGGGGACTCTGTCGAAGGCTTTGCTAAAGTCGGCGTACGCCACATCATAATTGTGCCTGTCATCAACTGATTCGAAAACAGCTGAAAAGACTGTTACTAGATTTGTCAGACATGAACGCCCACTTGTGTGACAGCGTTTGTTGGAGGCAATGTGTGAAACGAGAGCTGTTTATACACGTTTATTGCCATAAGGCCATAGACTAGGTTACACTGATCTGTGGGTGGAGACCAAAGTGTGTAAGGCATTGACTTATAAAGTTAAACTTTGACTAAGGCAAAATTACCTGGGGCTGGGGTTAAGGGACCAGTGAGTCAAATAGTCTGTTTTTGTTGAGCTGACCGGACTAAGGCAGACTGACCTGTGGGGTTGACCCATCTTGGTGAGGGCTCTCATGAGGACGTGGATGCAGGAAGTCTTCCCTGCGCCGCTCGGACCCAGAGTCATCATGCCATGTCGCACCCGTTGGGTTTCATACAGCTAAAGAACATAACACTTATGTGAACATCATGCCACATTGTTCAACACTACCCCCTGTACAGTAAATACTATATTTTGCGGCAATATAATGAACACCATATTGTTCCACTCATCATTATACGAGAAACAATCTCATATAAGTATCTTGTATTATAAGAGACAATATAACATATGCCTTGCTATAACAATGGAACATTAAAACAAGTCTCTTGCTGGCATATTAAAATACTCGTGTCTATTACATTAACTAAGTCAGTCCATCACCAGTCTTAAACCAGCTGGGTGTTACAAAATGTCGATAGTGATATTATTACATACTATTTGTAGCATACATTAGCCAGTAAATTGGAACCCACGCCCTATTTACTGTACAGTATATATATCGCTATTCAAACAGGTAAACAATTCATATTCAATTATCCCATCGAATACCGTAATTAAACCCTTCTATGATCATAGTGTAATTACATTTTAAAAGTTATAACTAAATCATTATTCTAAAGGGTTAATGAGAACTCTACATGATAGGATTTACCGACCTGCGTGAGCTTGAGCGTCCAGGGTGGGTGGTTAATGAGGCCCAACTCTGCCACAATTTCAGCAATGCTTAAGGTGAGTTGGTTGTGATAGCCCTTCTCCTGCGTCATATTCGGGAACAAATCGTCGATCAGCGACATAAACAATGGTTCGTCCTCGTCTGCCGTCGGTAAACAAAATAAAAATAAGCTCTCTGCATTGGTGATGTACCGAGGCTAGTTTATTGTGAAAAATTACAACTTTAACGGAGATGGGCGGTGATGTATTTGTTATGAGTATCGGCATTTCCTTAGTAGTTCATTGGCTGGGAGATTTTCCGTGTGCATGAAATGTGCCCGAATTTTCTATTCAGCCCATAAACTAGTCCACTCACTGTCGATGATAAATATACTGCTTTAACTGATTGGCAGAACAACACCTCAGTCTCGGACCAAAGCGATATCTTCCGCAAGAAGAAAACGGCGGCCCAGCGTGAACTTCACAAACTAAAGAATGACTGGATTAAAAATAAAGCACCTCCGCTCATCCGATGGTAACTCCCTAATGAAAGACGAAGAAGGCATCATTCAGTGCTGGAAAGTGCACTACCATTCGCTGCTCAACCAAAACACCGATGTGGATGTCATGACTACCCAGTAGATCCATCAGCATCCAGAGCTGACCCATCTCAACTAACCTCCATCTCTGGATGAGGTAGCTACTGCCATCAAACATATGCAAAATAACAAAGCCTCAGGGCCTGATGGAATCCCAGACAAGGTGTATAGAGTAAGAGGACCTCTGCTTACCAGCCGTCTCCACTCTATCCTGGAGAAAATGTGGGAACAAGAGGAAATCCCCCAAGCTCTTATATTTATAAGAACAAGGGAGACCAACCAGACAGTGGCAACTACCGCGGGATCTTGCTGCTGTCCGTAACTGGCAAGATTATCACCCGAGTAACTCCTAAACAGACTTCTTCCTGAGGCGGAAATCTTCCTGCCAGAATCTCAATGTGGCTTTAGACCATCACGTGGCACCACTGACGTGATATTAGTGACTGATATTATCTTGTTGGGTGTAGTTAATATTCCTTAATAATTTGATACTATTGTTTTCTAATGTTTATGTGTCACTAAGGGATGTGAGATGACGAGGGAACTGTTTTCAGATGAGCTCCTCATTCTGGTGCAAGTAGCACTGTTACCTTAGTAGTGCTCATGCTAAGTGCACCCTGTTTACATAATATTTATGTACTCAAGGTCAACGATCAACAGACTTCTCGAGGGCCTCTCAACCACAGGTTACCCCTTACTGGTAGGGGGTGGAGTCCGGGGTGAGCATTTCTCATGCGTTTTTGTCCATTAAGGGTTTAAATATTTGTCCTGAAACTGTTCCACACTACTCTGTGTAATTCTGATCATTAATTATTTAATGCCTTCTTTCTGTTACCTCTCATTAAGGATAAGAATCATCAAACTACTATAATACTAATAATAAACGCTAGAAATGGAATATACTTAGGATGTGTTTAGAAAGAATTTACAATCTAGTTAACAGTAATTCATTTGGTGCTTAAATGTAAATCTACGTAGCATTTAGTATTTTAAAACATACTGCAGTAACTACAATATTTATACTCATTTCTGATCCAACAACTGGTTACTTAATGGACGTTAGAGGCATGAAAATAATATAAGAACGTGTCAACAAATTTTCTAAACAGAGTTTCCTAATAGTGGAAAGCTTCTACACAGCCGAGGAACTTTGGCAAGATTCCTGTAGATATAAACAGGATAAGGACACTTGTAGAGTACTTGTCATGTATAACTGTATATAAGATTCAGCGACTTTCACATTTTGATTTATTATATGTGCCACTAGCAGAGAATACAACAAGAATAAGTCAAGATCGCGGTAGTGACTGACCGACGAGCTTGGAGAGATTCATGTCCCTTAGGACCCTCATGACGATGGTGGCTTCTGAATCCTTGGCGTTGGCCCTCTTGGACGCCCCTAGTGTCCTCAGCACCGACAGGATGTTACGTAGCCCGAAGTCGTAGTGCACCTGGGGAGATATACACATAAGGTGTTAATTATTCAACACATTTTATAATTCTAGATTACTTATGCTAAGTCTACAACACCTCTGGTAGTGTACCTGAGAATACACGTTTATTATCACTACAACACCTTGTAGTGTTAGACCTGAAGTGTAATGGCGGCAAAACCTGTGTAAACATCCAGTGAAAGAAGAGGAAATAGTTTGTAACGAGTTGTTCAGATAATGATGGTGGTTTGAGTTGTTTCACGAGGTGTTGACGAGGCCGAACAGTTCAATCAGGGCAATCATAACATAGCCACCGTCTCTCTCTCTCTCTCTCTCTCTCTCTCTCTCTCTCTCTCTCTCTCTCTCTCTCTGTGTGTGTGTACTGAGAATCCACTAATATCATTATAGAGTGTTGATATTTATATGGACTCTTCTTGATCTAACATCACATGGTAATAACGGTGAACAGACTCCTATATCACATGGTAGTAACGGTGAACAGACTCCTATTTCTACAATTCGCTTAGAAAACTTCCCACAGAGGCGTCACACGTTTTACAACTCCCAGCCTGTTTTGACATTCACAATGGGAATGTAGCCGAGTTAAGGAGGGAGTGGAGAAGATGGTGGGTATGTTACGCAGGGGCGACGGAGATGAGCGAGAAGCCAGAAATATATGAATCAATCGGTGTTTCTGATACTGATAGGATCCAAGGCACATAACATATTCAATACTTTCAAGATTCCTGTAGAGCAGAAGAAGGACCTCAATAAAGTACTCGAAGCTGGGACTCAATACCTGATCGCAGACTCGAGTCGCCATTGCTGGCACAAAGTGTCAACAGAACATCGGTGGTGACGGTCAGGCCCATTAGCATCACAGTAAATGAATTTTACACCGTGGAGAACTTAAAAAAATCTTAAGTGGGTATTCTGTTGCAGATGATTACACAAGAGCACAGCACACAGTCAGAAATAATAAAATGAAGAAAGCGGTTATGTTTAGGAACAGAGAACACATATAAGAGATCACCGAAACTTTTGTTGAAGACCGAGAGATAAATTATAATCCCAAGATTAATACAAGCATCTGTAAGTTACAACAGAAGATGAAGAGTTATGAAGAAAACACACTACCCGTTATATTACAAGGTGTATCAAAACAATAAGTTACACACCTGCTTCGTGAGCTGTTCCTCGCAGAGTTTATAGAGGGTGTAGAACTTCCGTGCCAGTGTGATGTTCTCCAGGAAGCCACACGAGGCCAGCTTCACCCTGATAATGATCTGTCGGTCTGGCACCATCATGGCCACATTCCGAAACTGAATCTTAAGGTTTTCCGGGAGTTGTTGGCGTCCGTGGTACCCAAGGTTCTGTTGTGGTCAAGTAGATGGTCATGGTATACCGTGGTGGAGGTAGAAGCATCGACGGAGAAGAAGAGGCGATGTCGTGACATCGAGTTGTCGTCGACATCGTTGTTACCCCGTTGAATAGGTAGACAATCGATGGGATCAAGTGTGATGGGCGGCGAGACAGTGGAGGGTAAAGTAAGTATATACATGGTGAGAAACAGACAACTGGAAGGAGGAAATCAACATGCAACAGCCTCTATGTACACCACAGCTCGCCCTCCCTCCAAAGAGAGAACAAAATTACTCTCTGTCCTGTAATAAAAACTTCACACTACGGGAATGAAAAAATAAATAAAATAAAAAACACCATAAAAATCGAGAAAACAAACATGCATTGATATTCAGAATATTGTGTATATACATGTCATATATAATGTATTCCTTCAGTATATACGACCCCTGGCGGTCCTCAGCCTAGCAAGTGCCGATACTCTTTGGTGAAGCTGTGATGAGTGATGGCTGGAGAGTGTCAGGTTTCATGCTCAGCTGAAGGTTCTAACTCTATAATACTGTACTGAATTACATTCTATAAGAAAAACAACCTAGGCCAGATACCATGACAGCTGTGGTAAGAGAACAGTGATGTCATGTGGGGCTAACACAGTGACGTCAACGTAACACCGTAAACTAGATGCTGACGTGGTTGCCCTCAAACAAATGACTACCCTTAGATGTTCTATTTACAGTAGAAGACAAGGTAGTGTGGATGATGGATACTGGCAGCATAAAATGAGTGGCAAAAATGATTATATTTACACATTTGTACAAGTTAATAAAGATATACTGTATACAAAAAAGACGGTTCTCATTATACCTTTTAGACTGAGAGTTTTCCCTAAGTAATTTTAAGAAGTGATAAAAGATATTTTGCTATTTTTTTCTTCCAGGATTGCATAAATCATGTTGCTTGATCGACAAAATTGGGTATGTTAATTCTGTTGCGCCTTTGGGCGACTGTGTGAGAACGCCCTCATGTTTCTGTCTCAAGTGATTGTACTGCGATAACAGATGCTCTTAGAGGTCATGATTCCAGTTTGCTAATTTTGAAAATAATTTAGACAGTCAGGAAGTGAATACGGAAAATCAGTTGATTTCAGAGGTTTCCAAAGATAGTTTTCTTTGAAGGCAATATGGACAGACATTCAGTTTTGGAGGCAACAAATCTTAAAATACAGATAATTAAGTTTCTATGGTAGACAACAATCCTTAAAAAAAAAACTTTGCTATCTAAAATTGCCAGTTATTACAGATTTTGCTGTATCTATAGGCACTTCAGCAACTTAGCGCTTCAGGTTCATATTCTAAATTAATATCTACACAAATAAATTATACAAATTTCGGAAAGACACTTCTCTGAACTGTCATAGGTATAACTTTTTCTTTTATACTACCAGTACTGAGGTACCGGGAGCATTGTTTTGAAAAGAGAACAATGAGGGTCATTAACATTTTTCAGTGGATGTTTTAGACGTTGTGTGAAGAGATAAATGAAAGAACAAATATTAGTTTTATAGTACGTAATACATGTTACAGCCGCAAGTCTAAGATCGTCTGTCAGCAATACATCACTCAACTATATTTGTACACATAAATTAATCTCCGTTTTGAGCGGGGGTGCGTTTATCAGTTATCGTTAAAAGTGTCACTGGGATAGTTTATATTTTGTTATATTTGTAAAACAATAACAGTAATCTCGGTTTACAATGTAAATGCATCAAGGCTGGTAACGTAATCTTTAATGTGGCATATACGTGTATGTTAACCGCACGAATATCTACACAGAACATACACATAATGAGATAAAGGCGGTATAAGAGTAGAATATATTGCTAAGGTCTATAACTGATAAAGTATTACCTCATCCATAGGATTCTCCAGTTTCTGTCAGGTAGAGAATACATTATCACCTCAGCGATGTAAAAAAATATGTTTTTATAATATAATATAAAGTACAGTAATTTTTCTTTGGTTCGTGACCAAAATTATTAATACATTATAAATATCTTCATATAAATGAGGTATTAAATCAAGGACTATTGACAATTATTATTCCAAAAAGGATTAAGATATTTTACACAATCTATCAAATGACGAATGTGAACATAAGTTTGTCCACATACAGACATAATATCTACAGTAGTTTTAGGCGAAGCAGAGAAGTGTGTCAAACGTGAAGAGAGACAGGAAGGGGTGTGCTGACGAGGTACTACAGTACATGACTAACCTACCAGTGCTGCTCAACTGGTCAGTAGTGCGGGAAGGAGATGTCAGGCTGTAGAACTGATAACATTAGTCGTGTCGTGTGTGAGATAAGAATATAGTGGCTTGTCTCGTATGTGTTAATGTTATGTATTAGAACTACACTTTAACAACTGAGGTCTTTAAGTGCGTACTCAACACTACGCTAGACATAAACAGCTAAAACTGAAAGAACAAAAACTCTGTCTCATATAAATAAATATAATTACAGATACCATTAGACAGTACAGGTGTAGCCATAATGATTTCTTGTGTGAGCCCAGCAGCGAGACTCGACATTTATCTGGTGGAACAAATTAATGAAAATATTTGTAGTGACGATGTGTGTGTGTGTGTGTGTGTGTGTGTGGTTAATTGCTAATGTCCCTGCACCGTCGGTCATTGTGTGAGGTCTATGAGAGTACAACAGTCCTATAATTGGTAATACTAAACTTAAGTCCCGCGTATTTTGTTTTTACCCTTTTTCCCATTTGTTTATTACAAATTGTTAAGAGTTATGTCTTATTACAGAAAATGGGATTGAATTCTAGAAAACACGTACAGTATATTAAACGTACTTAGAATCAAATCCAATATGCACAAGATGTGAGCAAAGCCCAAGCATCTAGTCAGTTCATCTCATTCTACGATCTTTGAGACAATCGTATTTTTGTATAAAAAACTACAGCAATTTGCTACTTAAGTTAAAATACTGTTACTCTTAAATACATTAACTCAAGTTGAAGTAGAAGTACTTTTCCTTAAGTTAAAATAAAAAAGCAGCCACCGTACAGTACCTACCTTACTCAAGTATAAAAAGTACAAGTATCAATTACACCCAAAATATGCTCCTGGCCAACAACTGTAAGGTATGTTCCATGTGCAATATATTTAACCATGCACGTAAATTATTTCCCAGAACAATAATTTTTACATTGCTTAAACAAAATTAACTGATTTTCGAAATTTAAGAAGTAAATTCTTGCCCATTTATGGCTGAAAATTAATCTTATACAACCGAACACCCTTCCACATGCGGAAAGCAAAGGTGTATCAGACGAATGGAGACATTCAGTTTGTTTGGAAATTACTTTAGCATCTCCATCTATCATATGCCGATGCCAAATAACCATTCAATAATCTCTTCTCTCGTGAATATCGAGCCGTCATCGACCCAATGAAATCGTCGTTTTCAAATGAACATCTATAATACTTGTCAGTAATCAGGCAGCTCCCCATATCGGGTGAAACAGCGTCTTTGGCTTGGCTTGGGTTACTAGATAAACAAAAATCAACGTGCACACACCTTGCGTGGATATTCGGCGGATTGATGAAGGTTTTGCAGAAAATGTAATGGAGTAAAAGTTAAAATGTGTAACAAAATATCAATACATTGTTACTTTACACCTCTGAGAAAATCCAAACTAACTGAATCTAAATGTTTTATTTTCTAATTAAGTTGGATATTTAGATTACCATCATCTCACAAATAAATGATATTGATGTCTTGACTAGATGGTCATACGTTGCTGCTCGCATTATTAAATGACGTGATTCTCAGTAACTTCAATACTCTTTTTTTCTGTTTTCTTTTTTTTACAAGTATCCGACATCATTACCTGTATTAAAGAACAATGGTCAGCAATTTTGGTAATAAATTTTCGGCAAAACATATTAAAGTACGGGAAGGGGTCTTAATCATTACCCACTACTTGGCATGTATTACCATGTGGTCAGGGATAACGTCAGTGTCAGCGAAGAACACGTGGCATCCCTATAATTCACTGGGCTGCATTTGAAAAAACAATTCATGAGGTGCGGGGTTTCTTAGCTGATTCTTTATGTATTTTGCGTGCTGATTCCAAAAATGCCATTCATTTTGCCCAATCAGGTCAGATTTTTATGCTATGGGAATTAGGAAAAAATCAAAATTCTTAAATATAATGTCAAAATTTTTATGCAAAATATATCATAAGAAATGTAACCACAACACATAGGACCAAAATATGTCAACTACATACATGCCTTTACAGTTAGACATGCATAAATGGCTGTCGCAGAGAATTTCTTTGGTGGTTGGTGTCTGGGGCGTCCCATTTCAGACACCAACAGTAGTCGGCGAGCATGTTGATATCCCAGCGACCCTGGTACCGCTCCTCCATTACACGGATATCTTGATGGAAGCGTTCTCCTTGTTCCTCACTCACATCACCACAGTTCTCTGGAAAGTAGTCCAAGTGGGAGCTGAGGAAGTGCATCTTGATGGACATGCGTGCACCAAGAACTTTGTAGCTCAGAAGTAGGTCCTCAACAACTCGTTCATACTCTGGACTTCTGTAGTTGCCAAGAAAATTGGAGACAATAGACTTAAAGGCATGCCAGGCTTTCTTCTCATTTACATCCATGCTGCAATCAAACTTGGGATCTTTGAAAAGCTCTCTGATCTGAGGGCCATCAAAAATTCCTGCATTCAGCTTTGCCTCACTGACTTTTGGAAATTTTTCTTTCAGAAAATTGAAAGCCTGGCTTTTTTTGTCCAGTGCCTTTACAAAGTTTTTGAACAGACCGAGCTTGATGTGCAGTGGCGGAAGAAGAATGTTCTGCGGATTCACCAGAGCATGGGCAACAACATTGTGAGAACCTGGAGTAAGTCCACTTCTTGCAGGCCAGTCACATTGCATGTAGTGCTGCTTGTCTGCTCGACTATCCCACAGACAGAGGAAACATGCCATGTACCACCAGATGAAAAAGAAATTTAATTGTGAAAAAATATATGTAAAAAAACACGGACATATACTCTTTTCCTTTGCGTCACGGCGGACATTTAAATGGCCGGCGAGCACGTGGGTGTATTTAAATGCATCGTAAGGGCATTAAAACTGACCGAAATTTTTTTGTGAGGCTTGCCAATGTCTCGGATGATTTTTTTAATGAACGAATATGAGGACCCCATTTTGAGCGAAAAATGCCAATATTTTACCTGAATCTCCGCTTAAAATGCTATAGCACAAAATTCTGACCTGATTGAGCAAAATGGATAACATTTTCGAGATCAGCATGCAAAATACACCCAGAAAAGCTTAATAATACACAAACCTCAATAACTATGCAGGGCAGTGTAATGAAAGCAACAAATATACGGTACATAACCTGCAGTCTAACATCTAGATAGAAAATTCCTCCAAAATATGGAGCTATATACTCTATTATATAATAATAATGAGAATAAGATAAGCATTGATGAATGAGAGAATTAGCTGTACAAATAAGGCCAGATGATAGAAACGCGGTGTAAGAGGAGTAAGAGGGAGAAAACGCGGTGTAAGAGGAGTAAGAGGGAGAAAACGCGGTGATGTTGAGGCGGCAGGGGCGACGATGTTACCTTCTGGTTGTTGGACCCTATGTTCTGTGAGGTGTGTCAAGGGAAACTCCATTAGAATAACATATTCACATGACTGCTGTAACAACCTGTAGTATAATATTAAGAGCTGTCCAGCTTTTTATGTTATATAGCAGCACAGTAAGATAACTTATAAGTTATCAATTACACTAATGAATTAATGAAGAATCTAGTTGTCTCAAAAACTCAGGAGGAAAAAATACAAGGGGAAAAACACTTACATTATTACAGATAAGACAGCGAAGTAAAGCGAGTAACACAGCGAATTAACAAGAACTGTGATTGTGACAGATGGTGAACCATCTCAATCCCACAGTGTTAAATAAAGCATTTATCAGTGTTTACCATCATCCAGCATCATAAGAGAAGGTCAACAAACCAGATTTTTTTCTTGGCGATATATTTATAAAAGCGGATAATATCAATGAATTAACTGTAAGGAGGTTACATTATTATTTAGGATTTTAGATTTTTTTTTATATATGCAAAGAAAAAAATATTTTTTAACACAAAGTAATGTCTACCCAAATGCTTCACCCTCCAGAGTGTGAAGTAGTTTGATCAACTTGAAAGGTGATGTCTTCAGATTAGTACAATCCGTTCAGTGGTCTGGTCGCCCCACTAAGGCATTTTTAGGTTTTTTTTTTCATGAACACTGGCCCACTTAATGCAGTAAGCCTTGCCAGTAGCTCAGTGTTTACGCTATATCCTTTTTGTTTATTTTAAACTAGTCTACATTTATTTCAAATTTTTCAAAATTTATTAGTCATTCATTCAATTATTTATCTATCTAGGTTTGAGATATTTAATGAAGTAACTAGGATTATTATGACACGTCTAACTTGTGCTTTATCGTTTTCATGTAAAATTAACACATTATAATTCTGAAGCATTTGTAGGTATTTATCTTAAATATGAATTGCTAACTACTGGCATAAGAAACGAGATCAGTCGATTCTTCATGATCACATTATTCCAGACTAATATCCCAATAACACACACTACACCACACTAACACCCCTCTCACCCACACACTCCTCTGTAAAACACCCCTCTCACCCACACACTCCTCTATAAAACACCCCTCTCACCCACACACTACACCACACTAACACCCCTCTCACCCACACACTCCTCTGTAAAACACCCCTCTCACCCACACACTCCTCTATAAAACACCCCTCTCACCCACACACTACACCACACTAACACCCCTCTCACCCACACCCTCTATAAAACACACCTCTCATCCACACACCTCTATAAACACACCCTCTCCACACACACCACCACTCTCACACACCCTCTATAAAACACCCCTCTCACCCACACACTCCACCATAAACACCCTCTCACCCACACACTCCACCATAAACACCCCTCTCACCCACACACTATAAACACCCCTCTCACCCACACACTCCACCACACTACACACCCTCTCATCCACACACTCCACCACTAACACCCCTCTCACCCACACACCCTCTATAAAACACCCTCTCATCCACACACTCCTCTGTAAAACACCCTCTCACCCACACACCTCTATAAAACACACTCTCACCCACACACCCACCACACCTAACACCCCTCTCACCCACACACCCCTCTATAAAACACCTCTCATCCACACACTACACCATACTAACAACCCTCTCACCACACACACTCTATAAACACCCCTCTCATCCACACACTACACCATACTAACAACCCTCTCACCCACACACTCCTCTATAAACACCCTCTCACCCACACACTCCTCTGTAAACACCCCCTCTCACCCACACACTCCTCTATAAAACACACCTCTCACCCACACACTCCTCTGTAAGACACCCCTCTCACCCACACACTCCACCACACTAACACCCCTCTCACCCACACACTCCACCACACTAACACCCCTCTCACCCACACACTCCACCACACTAACACCCCTCTCACCCACACACTCCCTCATACTAGTGCAAGCAATGACATTGCAGGTGGTTATTGTAGTCCTGTATAGTTTATCCCAAACAAACCATTACTGGCATCGTTAATGAATAGTTTTATTGAGTTATTGATGTACCGTAGGACGGGTGACACATCTGTGGTGCCAAGCGTCTTTCAAATTAGCCAGGTGTTTAACATACAGGGACTCCAGCCAGGGTGTTGCCTCCCAATTTCAAAGTAAATGCAGGAAACACACGGGGTATTGCAACATTCTGAATTAGTATGAATAATATCACACTCCCACCGCCGAGTGTGCTGGGAGGTTAGTTAGCACATATACAGCTCTTGAACTGCATAGAGAAAACCTATCTCACGATACTCTCGTGATGAGTTTTAGAGCCTGAGCAGCCTCTGTAATTTTTACTTCAGAGAATATACCACTGCTGTACTCATACTATGGATTTCTATTACAACCTTACTAAGGGTTCGTATATAGAACCAATATGGAAGTCTAACTGTGATCCCATAGTGAACACGAGAGAAAAATGATGGGAAGCCTCTCGACCAGATTCACTACTTACTGGATGAAGATAACCACTTACAATGGTATGGCTTACACTAACACCTCTCCCACCCACACTCGTTCAAACTAAAACCCCTCTCACCTACACAGTCATGCTAACACCCCTCTTACCTACACATTCCCTCATACTAACACCCCTCTCACCCACACTCCATCATACTAACACCCCTCTCACCCAAAGACTCCATCATACTATAATAATAATGATTGCCCCTCGAGTAACGAGGATGGCCGGCCCAAGGGCCACCTAGGCGTGAATTTGTTTAAGGTGTAGAAGCTGTCGCCAACACAACAACCACACCCTGAGTTAACGAGTTGTATGACCCAGTGTCAAGGAATAGTCCGAGAAGACCGGACAACTCGCCAACTGCACTGGCAAACCATTACCCCGGAACACGATCCGCAAATCGATTAACATCCAGGTTCCCAATTACTGCTGAGGACCTGTCCATAGTCCAATCACTTGCGAGGCAAGCATGCTAACCATTACACCATAGGATCACCGCTGACTGTTACACCACAGGTCGCCACTCCTCCAAACTAACACCCCTCTTACTCACACACTCTGTCATACTAACACCTTATTTACCCATGCATTCCCCCATACACCTTTCCAATGCCTTCCACTTCGTCCTCACTCACCCCACATCATCCCACAGCTTCTCCTTAAGCCTCGATGATACACAGGATACTGAACAAACTAATTTCACCTAGAATTATCCCTTTCTGAACCATTCCTCTTGCTTATCTCTCTTCTCGACTAAATAACATCCCACGCCATAGATGATATAGTCCTAATAAAAGGACTTAACAACTACCGTTATCGTCTCTCGTTTCCCTCGGCCAACCACAAGCAGTACTTGACTATTATTATACTGTATTAGAGAAAGGAAAGTGATCATGGATATAGAATGCCTCAGTGCCACACAAAAAAATCTAAATTGGCACAAAAACATTTGCAAATGACCTATAAATTGACACACACACACCACAACCTACACACCACTCACCATCACCCACTCACCATCACCCACACACCACTCACCCACACACTACTCACCATCACTCACACATCACTCACCATGGTAAGGAAGATGCCAAACTCTGAGTTCATCGGTATCACGTCACCGTCGGTAAACTGGAAGTTCTTACGTCTCTCCTTTTTGCAGGTATGGACAACGGCGATCTGCTGAGCTGCCACCGACAACACCGGCAGCTCAATGCGGTTGAATTCGTCGAAACATCCCCACGATCCAGACTGTGCCAAACCTGAGGGGGACGAGAAATGAAAGAGAAAGTAAAAAGTCCATTACTTATGATCGTGAATTGTGATAACACAAACGTCTCGTGGTTCATAAACATACGAGTATTAGCGACATATGGATTACTTACAAACTAACCAACATATGGTCGCTTACCAACATCCAGTACACCTGGTCAGGTGCAAACATGTTAAGTACACTGAACCAGGGCTTAGCTCAAGTCATTTAATGGGCAGGTGGCCGGTCTGTCGCACCCGATGATGATAATTTGTGATAAAGGCATTCCGGTCGCCTCTGAGGATTCGAACCTATGAGAGGTGTCTGTTTCAGTTTAATGTTGAATTCTGTTAATTAAGATGAATGTTTTTACAGGTTTGTGGTGAATGTTGTTCCAAGTTTATGGTGAATGATGTTAAAAACAAGTCTTAATGTTATTGAATTTTTGTTGCCTTTAAAAATATTTGTAATTCATAAAGTACAGCACTTTAATTTTTACATGATACAAAACTGACTCATCAGCTCATACCACATGTTTATTATCTTTCAAAATAAATAAGATGCAATAATACTGGTTACCTATATTTTGAATCCAAACAGTTAACGAATCTATGCTTACAGAATATGTAGGGAACTGTATTTAATAATAATCACTATTATAAATGACTGTCACAACACTCACAGGACAGATCTGAGATGGCCCTATAACCCAAGGTGTTTACCATGCCCTCCTCTAAGCACGTGCCAAATTTGATGCTTCTATCGTTAAACCCAAAATTCCTTGATATATTTCTCCAATCTGCCTGACTCTTGACACCACAACATATATGTCCTTTTTCACTCTTGACATTTCTGGATTTATTTTTGGTCTTTTTTGTGTTTTTTTGTCCCCCAGACCCCGATGTGGGTGTGTGACCTGTGCATGGGTGGGCACAGGTTTCATATAAGTAAGTAGAAGCGAATGGCATTTGGATCTCCATTGCTAATTAAGTTATTGCTGGAAATTCTTGTGGTCTTTGAGCCAGAGTTCACCAAGTTCCATTTACTTCGAGTTCTACTTTTAATGAGGGATCTGCAGTGCACGTATATCGATAAGCTGTTCTTTAATAACCCATGGCAGGTGATCAACACTGGCAGAAAATTGCACTCTCAACTAGTTCACTTCATCTTCATGCTAAAATCGTGGTCCTCAGTTGAAAAACATCTGAGAACCACTGCACTAAGTCTCTAACGAACACATCGAGTGCACCTGGTCACTAGTAAACTTGGTCACTCATCAACACATCAAGTAAACCCGGTCATTCACCAACACACAGATGACACATCGCATACTGAGGTCACAGGCGAAGGCTTCCTCATACTCACCCTTGAATATCCTGCCAAGGCCGCGGTAATCCATCTGGTCGGAGCAGTTGAAGACGACAACGTACTTCCCCAGCGTCTTACCCATGTCCTTGGTGGTCTCTGTCTTCCCTGTACCTGCAGGACCCGTGGGGCATCCTCCCATACTCATACTAAGAGCTTGAGCGAGGGTAATGTAACACCTGTATGGAGAAAAAAATATTCGTGTTTTTCATCTCTTACATTGACAGTGGGGCCCTATAGGAATGGTCCATTATGGAGTGTGTGGATAAAGCACACCATATACTTTTGCTCTGTGTGCGGTATGAGGCAGCGTAGTCGATATTACACTCAATCGCCTCCACTTCCCTAACATTCATGTTTGGTGCCCATTTTCTGCTGAGTGGACTGTGAGTATTCCGGGATCACCCTGCCACCCTTATGAAAGGAGGCAAGTTATGTACCAATTCGGTTGCTCACCACACATCTTTTATATTAAGGTGGTACAAGTAAATAATCGTGTTTTAATGTTTACATTTATAAAGCATAAATGGTCGGGGGTTTTTTATCACTTACAGTGTCGTGTTGTAAATGTTTTAATTTTTACTATAACATAACTGTTGTTTAAATAAACCTCTCACATGTGATGTTTACCTCCGTTAATTTATGGTATGATTGTGTTGGTCACACACAAAAAAAAAAATATATATATATATATATATATATATATATATATATATATATATATATATATATATATATATATATATATATATATATATATATATATATATATATATATATATATATATATATATATATATATATATATATATATATATATTACCTCCGTTAATTTATGGTATGATTGTGTTGGTCACACACCAGGGAGAGAGGGTGGTCAGGCAGGTCTTAAAGGAAAAGCGTCAGATGTTTGTTGCTGAGCTCCGCTGACCAAGCTTGACCTCGCCCGCTCCCCAGAGGAAATGTCAACTCACCAATTGATTCATACTCATGGGTGAATGACTTGGTGAATATATGGGTAATATACATTTGGGTAAATATTTATATAATACAAATGGTGCTGTTACATGATACTGAAAACTGACCTGTTTATAGTACAGTACGTATTTTTGGATCACCGGAAGATTAGACACCCAACTTATTTTACTTGAAGAAGAACCACTCAAATGCTACCCAGGGGGTTAGGTTAGGATAAGGTACAGGTGTAGGTTAGGTTAGGTTAGATTTCGGTAAGCATTAGTTTAGGTTAGTGTTAGGGTGGTTCACCTTCAGGTGAAAAGAGCTGGGCTATCTAATCTTCAGGTGATCCATAATTGTTTAATCCTAATAACACAATTAAAATTTTGTACTGAGGTACTGAAAACTTTTAATTAATTTCTGATACGAAGACATTACAAAGTATGGTTCTGTTGCTTTATTACTTGTATCTTAACTGACGGAGCATAACAGTCTGATCCGATTACAGATGGAAATTAAATTAATCCACGCACTCTGTTTACAACATTCAGGCCTTCCAATATTTAAGTCAACAGAAGTCCACTGACCTATCGGTGAGGGGTGTGATGACGAGTCTCTCGGTGCAGCCCACGAACTCGTTTTGGTACTGGAAGGTGACATCCGTGAGCACGATGTTAGTACGGTCTAGGTCCTCCCTGAAGTATATGCGGATCTGTCGCAGCCAGTCGAAGTCCGACACTGACCTTACGTTGTTCCTGCACTGTGGGTTACATGATGAGATTAGTCTCTCTCTCTCTCTCTCTCTCTCTCTCTCTAAACATCCTCTTTAGCCACAGATTGCCGTATCATCTTACCATGCTATCGAATATGTCTCTCTGGTGGATGTGGATAGTGATGAGCGTTTCGTATTTGGTCCTCTGCACAGGCTCTAGGTCTCTAGTAGTCTGGTTGATCAGCAAGTTCAGCAGGTCCAGGAACCGGTTGTTCATATCGGCCATGACGCGACGATCGGCGCGGGCCTGCGTGAGGGCCATCTCTGAGTCTCTGGTCCAGATCATCTGCAACCCCAAGATGCCAACCTGCAATGCACGCAAGGCATTTATTAAGAATTATTATTGAAAAAATATATTTTATTTAATGAGGTATATTTTGGAAATCCAATACAATAAAGACTTCTTGCTGTTTTAAGAAAACTAAAATTATTTTGTATAAATTTTCAAAATTCCTTTTATTATTTATTTATGTTTTTAATGCTCTGGAAGTGCTCCTTTTCTCACTTTTCAGATGAACATTATTTTGTTTACCTGTGGGAAAGACTCGTGGTTGGGGTGAACTTTGAAGACAAGTCTTTAATAGTACTGCGTCAATCATCAAAACTTTGGTGGTTTGGGATAAAAAGTTCATTGGCAGTGAAGACTCGTTGAGAGAAAACGGATTTATTATTGTAACTTAAATTATATTATTACTCAACTTATAGTTTATATGAATACCAACACCTGTCTCATTTTATCACCACCTGAATAATTGTAACATAGAAGGGTCAAACTGCATTGTCACCTTTATCTGCACGGCTTACTTCACACTATCCAAACCACTATTTTCCCAGCAGTCAACTAGTAAGCACGCGTGTCATAAGATGGCTCCTTATTGGTGGAAAATCAACGCCGGCTATTGGGTGCGCCATCTATGACAGGTGACGTCTACTCTAATCCTGGGATTCCAAGTCAGTCCAACCCTCACCACTTCGGCGACTTGTTCTCCCCGTCTACTGTCGTCAAGTTGAGCAGCTGTTAACTACACTGCCTGTAACACAGCGGGATCTACTGACCAGCTATTTGTAACTTGTATTAGTACAGCTGAGTACATTATTTTTTACCCTTGTATATGTGTTTTGTGTTGAGTTTGTTTTAAGAATATTATTTAAAAATCACTTGCATATTTTTCACGTCCTACTGTTTATACTGTGTTGGGTGTTGTCTTGTCAACCATGAGCGTGGTGTCAAATATTCAATTAAGCCAAGTAATACTATAATAACTAAACCTACAGTAAAACTTAATAACTAGAAAAGTTCACAATTCAAACAGATTGTCATTTGTTACATAATTGGGCATTAGTGTTACAAGGTATTATTATTAAATAATTTCCACCAAAAAGCCCCTAGACACACACACAGGTAAAAAAATCATTACTTTTTTTTAGGTTAAAGTAAAGGAACTTAAAGACATTTGCCTTCTTAACTGCTCAGTTTCCGTAACAATATAAAGTAAGAATTTTCACATTAATGCTAAATGAACCTGTCCATCTTACTTCACATAATCCCAGAATGTCCCACTGCAATCTTTTTATTTCCCGACAAATATTTGCATATTTACTAGCCCCATATAATGTCATCACATTCCCCGATACAATCTTAATTTTGTGTTTGATCATTTTTAAACTTTCCTTCGTGTCTAAGGCGTTGTTTTGTTCGGTGCATCGGTCAGTACTTGCCAACTCTCGGTGGCACACTGGCCACTAGCATGGGACGCAATGCGGTTGGACCTTTTGGTGACGATGATGCAACAGGAACGCCCGAGAATCTATTATTTTGTATTCCTGCAGTTTATCAAGAGCAAGAGATGAAGTTAATGAGAATGGATTCCCCCCAATTTTCTCATCTGAAGATTAATTAGAGGAAATAGAAAACGTTGGGAATGAACTATGGGGTGTAGAGGCCACTCATGCCTCACTCTGGTAAAGAACCAACCCAGATAAAGTAATGTATATTTCACCATCGAAGCTAAACATACCGCATCTGTGTACCAAACACTAGCTACACCTGGCGACTCTCACCTGGGCCGGAAATTGCTCGAGGAAGCGGAGAACATTTAGGTCGGGGTCCTGGATGACATGGTGAGCCTGGCGGATGATGCCGTGTACTGACTGTTGACACATCACCAGTAGCTTCATCAACCAGATCTCCACACTGCCCTCGGCGCGGATTGGCTTCTCCAGCTTGACAATGGAAGAAAAAATGTATTTGGTTAATATTTAAATTGCCTTGTAGTGTTTGTTTCAATATCGTTTCATTCCTTAAGCTAAAGGAATAAAAGTTAAATGTTCAGTACAATATAACAAAACATGCCATTCATTATTGAAAATTTAATTGTTTAGCATCACAAGCTAAACAAGAATATAATCATATTCAGTTAAATTAAAGGTGAGCTTAGGTTAGAATACGTTAGGCAAGGTTACAACAGATTAATTATGATTAAGTTAGTTTTGGTTGAATACGTGCGGATGTCATTCTTAACGTTTTACAATCTTGAAAAACCAAAGGAATGTTATTGACCTTACCAGCACGACTTCTCCCTCAGAAGAGGAGATGGCAGTGATGCGGTCGTAGTCCTGCTCGTGGAAGCGGACGGTCTTGGTATTGTCGAATATGGACAGGAGGTGAGCCTGGATAGTGTGGGAGTCTGAGGCCTGACCAAGGATCTCGAGCAAGGCAGGATCCGACACGAAGAAGAACCTCGGGAACAACATTCTCTTCTTCTCCAGGTATCTGCCCAGAGCGAGTCCATATAAATATATTCTCCTCCAGAAAATAATCATGTTATCCGAGTACTTGTGACCGGTTTGAGAATGTTAGACTTACATTAGAGGGTGAAGTAGATCATCCAAATAAAGGGTATGAATGTTTTAAGAGGCTAAACTATATGCTTCAACCTATAGAAGAGAGGATGATTTGCTTGAGGTAGAGTGAGGTAGAGTAAGGAATAGAGTGAGGTAGAGTAAGAAGCAGTGTGTGGGCCAACATACCCGGACAGGCTCTTCTGGCAGACCTCGAGCTGGTCCTGCAGGTAAGGGAGGAGCTGTTTCAACATGTCGTCGCCCACACAGCACGTCACCACGTTAGGGTTGTCGTGCGCCCGAGCCATGATCTTCTGCCAGTTCTTGTCGATCACGTAAAACCTGAAGTGTCTCGTCCACGTTACGTTAACCTATACAGAGAATCTACTGCAATGTGACAGTGTCTTTATCTTACAAGTCACGGATTTTATAACCTTGAAAAATTACGACCGGATTTACACATCAGAATATAACATTGAATATGATCTAATTTACTGTAAATATATTAATCCCTATATACCCATTAAGTTATTGAAAAAACCAGGAATGTTATGTTTTTCATCTCGAAATTAACTACGAGAGAAACTTTATATTTGAGGACTTTTACCAATTTGTGTTGACAGGTGAAAAGATCTGATCTTAAAATATCGATGATGGTCACATTACTTAAGGAGGCACACACATCAAGTCATTGAAGGTGATATGAAAAAAATATTCAAATGTATGATTTGAGTTATTTAAGAAGCCCGACTCAAACTCTCACTAACCCCTAAGACTACTGGACAAACAAACATTACACCCAAACACACAAACAAAATCACCATGTATTTAAAACAAAATGTTTTATTTATATATATGACATGACTTGTTAACACGAGCATGACTTAAACAAAGAGGAAACTGCTTCGGGAGTCGGGACAGGAATACAAAATGCGTCACCTTTTGGCCTCCTTTGGCAGTTGCTTGGCGATGTCTCCTCCCACAAACACTGCCTCCAGGTATACCCAGAGGTTCTGTACGAAGAGCCACCGCTCCAGGATCTCGTTCGTGTTGGACAGGTCACTCACCCACTTCTGAATCTGCTTTCGGAATGGCGCGTTGTACCTGAGGAAGAGTCCATGTGTTCAATATATTTATCTCCTAACCAAAGTACCTAACTTCGCAGGGGTGGCAGTAATAAAATATAAATAAAAATACAAAATATTTTCAGTCTAATTTATACGTACTTCCCTCTACTAATAAACTGCGTGAGTGTGTTTATTATAGATCAACAGTCATAAAACGTTTCTTTGTCTATAAGGATATGTTCCGTACCTTTCACTGTCAACAGGTATATATCAATTAAAAGTAATGGAACAGAACCCATTATTTACTTATAAAGTTAAAAAAATTAAAACCAATCTGGTATGAACAGTAACTTGGAGGAGGAAGCCTAGAATAAGGAAGATCACTCACCTGTTAGAGAGGAGAGAGCCCAGCACCATGAGGGAGTCTTCCAGTTGGGTGATGACCTCAGCCGTGGTATCGCCCCTCAGTAGCAGCTCGCCGCGGTTCTTGAAGGTGGAGAAGGTCAGGTCATGGTTAGCCCACTCGTTTGTCACGAGCCTCAGTTTGGCTTCTATGTCCTTCTCCTTAACGGCCGAGATGCAGATGTCCTGGTGAAGAAACATACAAAATGGATTGGTGGAATGCCAAAGAAAATGGGTCCTGGTGAGAGGGTAAGTAGAAAGATTTATTTTTGAAAGAGGTTACTATTACAATCATTTTATCTATCTGTCTTTGTATATGTTACAGGTAAATTTTCAAATCAGGCTGTCACGTATTCAGACACCTGAAACAGTGTGGGAAGCGACCACCACCAGCCACTCTGACGCCTACCTCCGTTGACGCTTACCTCCTCTCTCTCTCTCTCTCTCACCCTCCGCGCCAGATGTTGCTGTACTTGGCGTCAATTTGGCCAATCATAATTCATAATCGAAAGTCACGTCATCTACATGCCACGTCCACATGGGGTTTCATAAGCCGACGCACAGAACCAGGAGGGTATTCACTCCCACACCCTGACATCTTACAGTACTTTAAATTCCCTGGCTGACTGGTCATCTCTTCAGTGCTGTACTACTGGGTCTACCTACGAGTCCTTCTTGTGTCCAACGTACATATCTGCCCATCTTACACGCTAATTCCTTACTCATTGTCTTAGGGGTCTTGTCCAGTCTCCGATATACCAGTAGCGAAATAAGTGTTTTATACGACAAGACAAAATGTGAATTGTTGAACGGGATCTCTTAATGATGAACCTATACTGCACGAGTCTGTTGAACATGACGATGGGTATACTCTTTAACAAGCCATTGTCTGAATTCTGATAATGGCATAGAGTATGACTGAGAGATTTAGTGGTGTTCAAGTTGATGGTACGAAAGAGAAATTGTTGCAGTCCCCATGGACACCTACTCGTTCTTATAAGTTCCCAGTGGACTCCAAGAGACAGTTAAAGTTTCCGTTGGTGTGGTTGGAAAAGTTTCCCTGGCTAGCTTTTTCTAAAACCCTTGAAGGTGGTTTTGTAAGATAAGTGTCGTTTTTGGTAAAGAGTTTGTCGTCAAAGGTAGTCACATCAGCATGTTTTTGTTTCAAACGTACTGGTTATTTTCTGCTAAAAATTATTCACCATTAATGCACAATAAAATGCAGACAATTATATGATGATTTGTTGTCCAGTCGTTCTTTGGACCTCAGACCCCCCAACCTCCGTGCCTCTACCTTACTTAATTGAAAACTATTTAATTATTTGCTATTACCTTGATTGCCTTGTCTACGGTATTGAAACTTCTGGTCGACATCTTGCCTAATTATCAAGTGAACACTGGAAGTACTATAGCAAATCGCTATCTATACTGTTAACTACTGTAGAGGTTCCAATAATACATAACATTTTGTAAAATGCCAAGACAATTTGTAAAACACCTCCAACCCTTACCTCTATGTCCTCCTTGAACTGAAGTATCGGTGTGTCCATGATGTTCCTCAGGCAGAAGTTATCGCTGTCCACCTCCAGGGGTCGGTTGATAACCTCAGCTATGCGCTGCCAGTGACGCGGCTTCATTGCCTTGTTCGACATGAGTTCCAACAAGGGACACATGTCGTTGAAGTCATCGATAGTCTTCTTCAACGTGTTGAAGGCTGGCCACTCCTTCAGCCCCTTCGGTAGCTTGCGGCATCTGAAGGCAAAACCCAAGTAAGTTATCAATGACAAGGCATATGTTGGTAATGTCAAATTTGTCGACTTTAACTTGTGCTGGATCACAGTTTTTCTTCAGCTGGTTATCTAATGTACCTCATTAAATATGTATTTGTATTTATTCTTGATTAATCAATTCAGATACAAAAATAAGGAATAATTTTCAGTACAAAATACATAAACACCTTGACCATATTATTGGGAGATTCTTTCACTGCAGTGTCATTCTGTGCATAGGTTTTAGAAAATATAAGTTCCTTTATTAAAGAAGGGCCGTTTTTCATCTTAAAGTGGTGAGTCTGACAGAAATCTGTTGTTCCATTATCATCCACTTGTTTTGTCTTTACTGTATGGGAACTGTCTCTCTGGGTCAGACTAATTACCCAAATGTAGCCAAATATAGCCGGAATGAAGTCAAATAATGGTCCTAGATGAATAAATCGGACTGCCAATCACTTCTCGACTAGTATTTGGTGTCACAAAGTCACAAAAATTGGTAAACTTAATTTAATCTGAGTTAATAGATCAAGTGCATGTACCTAACCTAACCTAACCTACTCTAATCTAATCTAATCTAATCTAATTTAATCTAACCTAACCTAACCTACTCTAATCTAATCTAATCTAACCTAACCTAACCTAACTCAACTCAGATTAAATTAAGTTTACCAATTTTTTTTTACTTTATGACACCAAATAATAATCGAGAAGTGATTCACAGCCCGAATTACGCTTGTACGACCATCATTTGACTTCATTGCGGCTACATTTGGGTACAATTGGGTAATTCCTCGCTCCGTCGGTACATGCACGCGATCTATTAACTCAGATTATAGTAAGTTTTCCAATTTTTTGTGACTTTCTGACACCAAATACTAGTCGAGAAGTGATTGGCAGCCCGATTTATTCATGTAGGACCATTATTTGACTTCATTGCGGCTATATTTGGCTACATTTGGGTACATTTGGGTAATTAGTCGGACCGGTCTCTCTCACCTGTTCTGGAATTCCATGAGCTCATTATTGATTTCCTCGATGTTGACCTCACCCCAGGGGATGTCATAGTAGGAGGTCACACGGTCAATAACATCGTTGTAGAGCTTGTAGAGCTTCTGCAGTAGGTTCAGCTCTTTACGAATCTGAGCCAGCTCCGGAAACTCTGAACGAGGCAGGCGGAAGAGCTCCTCTCCCACAGAGTAGCTTGAGTGCTTCCTCCATAATGTGTCAAACCGATTCTGTAAAAAATAAATAACTATACGTGGCCTTAAAATTACAGATAAAGTGATTACTACACACACATGGAGACCATATTACATAAAACTCGCGAGAAAATGAAAACAACAACTTTAACCTTATTTATATATATATATATATATATATATATATATATATATATATATATATATATATATATATATATATATATATATATATATATATATATATATATATATATATATATAAGTGGAGGGGGCTGCACCATGAGTGAATGACCTATAAATTCTTTTAGTGGAATTAAAAAATTCGCTCATCTTGTGTTGATCTGCAAGTTTTTGCATTTCACTTGCTTTATTTTTCAACCAGTCGTTCTTTAGATTGCAAAGTTCGCGCTGGGCCGCTGCTTTCTTCTTGCGGAAGGTGTCAGCTTTGATTCGAGATTGAGGGTTGTTCTGCCAATTAGTTAAAGCAGCACGTTTATCATCGACTAGTAGTACGATGATTTCCGGGTCATTTCCATCAATCCAGTCCCGGTGTATTCTTTCCATCTGGCCGAGGGTCTCTGCAGGCTTTTGTCATGTCAGTGTCGAGAATACCCCATTTGACAATGAGATTTGGGTTGTTTGTTGCCGGGTTGTTTATCAGCCCATGTTCAAGCTGCTCTCTGAAAGCATGTGCTACCGCTGGATCCTCCAGACATTTGGTATTGAAACTTCTTCTGGAGGAATTGTTGTCTTCGCTAAAAGAACGTGGGGGCAAGTAGAAGAGTTAGAAGCTGTAACTCACAGGTTCGATAATGAAACAAAGACGAGTGAGAGAACATTAATGGTTCAGATCGAACAGAAAAAGACTAAAATCCCAGCACCAATACCAACATACAACTAACAACCTCAAAACAATTCAATAGCAAAAAAAAAAAAATCGCATAGAATAAATAGCCAATTAACACTGGTAACACAAACATCAACCTTTTCAATTAAAATAAACAAGAGAGGACCACCTCTTTGCCAACCAAAGTAGTAAGGTGGATCCTACACCACTTCCTTGCACAGAAAAACTTTTCCTATTTTAATCAAAAGCTTCAACTTTAAAAAAAGAGTGTGTGACTAACGGGCACTATCCTTGGCCTCTCCAGCCCCTTCCTGCTGTTTTTCCTCCCACCTTTATTAAATTAAAAGATACGATGCTCAGCCAACTCCATAAACAACCTGGCCAGAGGTCGTCACCTCTTCCTTGAAATACTGGCTACTGCAATGACAAAACATGAACGAGAAAAAATCCAAAGGCCTGAGAGCTAGAGCTTAAAATACGAGTACAAAAGATCAACAAAGAATTTTAAAATACAGCATACCTGGTTGAGCCCGGACACTTTTACTCTCCTACTTTCCTTCAAATTTCCCCCTCATTTTCTTTCTCCTAAAACCCACCACCCCCTCAAATACCTCCAAAGTACTATCACCCCCCCACCCACCCCCACCCCACCCCCACCCTCTCACCCTGCA